ATTGTAAGGGATTGTTTTTGGTTCTACCATTTTTGTTTATAATTTTCTTTACAGGTGTAATATTTTTTAAATGTAACACTTCCTGTTCACCCAAAGTTTCCTGAGGAGAATCTCTGTGAGCATGCTTCGTTTGGGCAGCTTAACAGAAAGTTCTCATGTGCTTGGCAGTGTGGGAATCTCCACAGAAAAGCCCAGCTCTCAAAATGGCCCACAGGTACTTGGCTATGAGCAGTGCCGTTAAGAAGACGACTCAGGGATTGTGGTGCCAATGGTGGTAGGTCTTGGTGACATACCTGACCTGGCAGAATCACCCTGGTGAGAAGGATGAGATGCTGAGCCTTCCAGGGCTCCTCACAGTCCTAGGGACTGTCCCAGACATAAGAGGCCCTCCACACAGTGCTTGCTCGGCCCCGGTTCTGTTTGGGCCATAGAGAGGGTTTAGTGTTGGCTGCAGTTGTCCTTCTTAACATGATGTCAGTTATCTCTGCCCGAGGAGTGAAGGGACCCTGAATATTCTCCTCCTCAGCGCGTTTTCCAAGGACAGACACTTTTCAGCATTCTGGGTCGTCTATTAGTCTCCAGATTGACACAAACTTTCGGGTGGCCTTTCATTATTTTTCTCCTTGCTGGAGTCCATTATTCTCCTGTTTTGTAATTTGATTGACAGGTAACAAATGAGTGCTTTTTCTTCATGAGATGAGCTGTTCTTCTAAAGAATTGAAATAATTGCCCATAACACCAAGCTTCGAAGACCTGGTGTCACAAGGAGAACTGGGGGGTCAGACAAGACTTGGTGACAGTTAGTGTCTAAGGAGCTAATACAAATGTGAACAAAATTGGAGGAAAAAAGTTATTAACAAGTTCCCTGTTCAGTTAGGAACTACATTAAAAGAGAAACAAACCCTCCCCGTTTCCAGAGTACCAATGATATTCTTGTTACTATGGAAATAAGTAGGTAAGGATAATAATGCATTGAAACTTGTCATTCACACCCAAAGTCTTGAGAGAATCCATGCTTACTCTGCTCCTATGCGGTTCATACCACAGCTGCACCAGTGGCCAGCTTTGCCAGGTCACTCATCATTGTGGCTGGCAGGGTTCCTACCAGGGTGAGATTGGTGCTTTACTTTTCTCCTCCAGGAGCGTGAACAGCACCTCCCCATACTCTGAGAGCTGTTCAGGAGGGGAGAAACTTCACGTCAGTACTAGTTTGATTTGTCCATGTTCTCAGGTATGTGCTGTCTTCAGCAGTAGGGTCTTACGAAAAACAGATTGTACAAAATTGCCAGAGAAATAATATTTCTTTTAGAAAAAGAACTCCTGCCGAGAGTTTGGCATTACTGCTTAGGTGTTACTAACCACCATCATTACAATAGGAATTTACGTAACTTGGAGGGTCTACTTAATCATAAGAAAATGTAATCCATGATTATGTTTTCTCTGTTTTCCATTAAATGTAAACCAGGAGTTTGTGTGTATGGCAGACAAATTTGTATTGTCACGTCCTTGAACAGCATGCTGTGAATCTCTAATTATGTTAGAAATTATTTTCTTACCCCTGCATTTTACTCATTAATACTCTACATATTTAGTTTTTAAAAATAGATTCTTGGCACAATAATTACATAATCATTCAATACAGTAGAAACATCATTATGGTCAAATACTAATTATCTACTTAGATGAAACAAAAAAAAAAACAATCTAGTTTGCAGCGTACTGTATAACACGATTTCATACATTACAAACCCAAACATATACTTAAAACTTTAACTAAATGTGAGTTGTTTTTCAGATTTTCTGTGGAGAGGAATCTATGTTCTGGGTGTTAATTCCTGTGTGTCTCCAGCATCTGGATCACCTCCTTCACACCCGCTCTGTCCAAAGTCCTCACCAGCAGATTTCCAAACTCAGTGCACCTGCTGTTACTGGGGGTGCACCAAGCCTGTGCGTTCCTTCATGTTCTACTTTAGAAGCCTCTGAAACTGTGGATTTTAGTTATAAATCGTTCATCTAGGGTGCTCTGGGATGTGTGGCCTCAGCTATTATCCCCCAATGCACTTTTGGAGTCTCGCATAGTCATCTGGCAACACAAAATCCTGGCACAATGATTGTCTGAGCATGCTTGTGATCAAAGGACAGCCAGTCAAAAGCAAATTCTGTGGCGGTGAGGATTGATAGGGTTCGAATTGGCTGTCAAATTTGTCTGCTGAATCTGTTGGATGTCTCTCTCCAGGCTCCACACTGCCCCCTCTCCAGGCTCCATACTGACTTTCCTTGAAAATTGCTTCTGAGGCTAAGGTGGGGCTCTAATGAGTGGTGGGATGTTTAGTGCTTTTTCTAAGTATGTTGTTGCCTGGTGCTTCTTTCGTCTGTTCTTGTCCATGCATATGGAATACCTGCAAATCCATGGAGACAGGCATGCAAGTTAGGTCTCCTTGTCCTGGTGTGGAGACTTAGCCTCCAGGACTGGAGGCTTTCTTAACAATTATATCATCTGCAGTATCCCAGAGTAACATTTAAGACATAAATGCGTCTTGCATTAAGCGATTTATAAGTGAAATGGTTTATAAATTTTGTACTTTAGCATCTTCATTTTATTTTTTCTTTCCTTGTCCTCTGTTAGGTACTTTATTTCTTAACAAATGGCTTGGAATGTGTATGAAAATGAAGATGTACAGAAAACACGTCTGTGATGTCTTTCTGTCGTAGCTGAACAAACAGAAGTTGTCTCGAAAGTGCTGTCGAGGTTATGTGTTGTAACCATCTGTGGTGGTCCCATGTTGCAGTGCCAATCTGTTGTAGCCCGTCTTTGTGGGGCTTCGGTGGGATCCAGCCGACTTGCCTGATCTGTACCTGAGAAGGGGGAGTGTGGATTGAGAAATGGCAGTTCAAGTCGCTAAGAAAAAGACAGAGACATAGTGTTGTGATCTTAAGTTTAAAGATATTTTAAAAAGGCACAAGATAAGACTTGAGAGTGAGAGATACATTAACTATAGTTTATTACAGGTGGGGGAGGAAGAGATGAGAGAGATGCCCAAGAGGGAGAGAGAGTAGAGAGCAGGGAGGAGCTAAGAGGGAGGAAGGCAAGAGAGAGAAGTGAGTAAGAGAAGACAGCGTAAGTGGGCGGGGTCTGTCTTTTAAAGGGGTCCTTTACACCTGTATGCAGACTTAGTTCCCATGGAACCCTGGGCTGACCAGGGTACTGCCTGAGTGGATTGTGCCAGGTAACAGGGCCAGCGAAATGCCTGAACCTTTCACACAGGAGAGTCAGGATGCCCCAAGTTTATTCTGCAGTGTTCTTAAATATCCCAACCTAAAGGTGATCGTGGCAAAAGACTTCTTTATCATGTATAAGGAACAAACAGACTTTCTTCCCTTAATTCTCCAAACATTTGTTAACCACACCTTAGACTCAATTTCCCATTATCCGGTCTTGAGGATCAAGAGTAGCTACACCTCAGACCAAGTCTGTTGTTATTTAGATAAGACACCCACTACCAAGATCAGAAATCCTACAGTAGCCACACCTTAGACCTTTAGGTCTCATGACTTTAACCTTGGAAGACTAAGGACATTTTTGAACTCTCTGGCCTTGAGTCAAAATGACGTGGAGCCCTCTTTATGGGCCCTGGCAGTTATGTGTTAATGGGGAGGTGGCGACTACTCTAGGTGTTGTGTTAATGGAGAGAGGTCATTACTGTCTGTTCTGTTGATGTTTCTGCAGCTGATGTATTTTCTAAGAAAATAAGATATTTTAGATCATAAAAATATTCACTAAGGAACCAGTGATCAACACCGGTCTCTGTCCTTTTTGAAATGCTGGTTTATTTGGAGACACAAAGATGTAAGTCAGGTGTGGTGCGAGATCGTAAGTCTTTTGGGTTTCCCGAGGTCGTCACACGGTGGTGTCCATCATTTCTGCTACACCATGAAGCAGCATCCGGAGGAGTTAGAACAGCAAGGGAAGGGAAATGGGAATGCTTGTGTGGAGGGTTATTTCCACGCCAGAGAACAGAGAGAGCCACGGCAAAGAGGAGGAGGAGGAGGAGGGCATTAGATGTGTTTTCTGAATAGTTAGGTCTGAAGCCACCCTGTAAAATTAAACATGGTGTGCCCAGTGAGCTCGTGAGGCATATCAGAGTCCACCAAGACAGCAGCAACTCGTGTTTTGTTCATGGTAATAATTATGTGTTGTTGCAGATATCAACGGAAGTTACTCTTGTAGTTTTAATTTTCCTTTGTTTGACTTCGTCCCCACCAAATCTTTTTTTCTCGGTTGTGTTTATCATGAATTTTTGGGTCCTCTTTATAAGTAGATTGACTCTAAGTAAACTTGTTTTCATGCCAGAATCAAGTTTCTTGAGCATAGCAATAAGGACCCTCTCTATAAAATATATGTGTGCGTTATGAGATTTGCATGTATAATCAAACAAGTTACTCTGTTTTGCTGATCTAAAACGAGTGTCAGATTTTTATTGGAAGTTAATTATGCCTAAATTGCAAAGACAAATTATAATTTTTTTAATTTTTATTTTTAGTCAACACAATGAGCCAGGAAACAGAATATTAGAGTACTGATTCTTTTAGATAACTAAATGATTCTTACATGTCATTTTGGGGGTATAGAAAATGCTTAATACGCGTATTAATGTGAAGCATTGGTAGACTATTGTATTCCTCAAAGGCACTTTTCTTGACACAAGGATGCTCCTTTTCATTCTTCCCTCTGTGTTTTCTTTTGTTGTTGTTTGGTTGATTGGGTCTTGTTTTTTGAGACAGGGTTTCTCTGTGTAGCCCTGGCTGTCCTGGACCTCGCTCTGTAGACCAGGCTGGCCCCTAGACTCAGATCCGCCTGCCTCTAAGTGCTGGGACTAAAGGCGTTGGCACCGTGCCAGGCTTCCCTGTGTATTGTCCATGGCTGAGAACTGGAGCCTCAGGAGAGTGTTAGAGAAATGAAGTGTTTTGAGCTCGTCATAGTGGCACTGCTGTCTTTGCAGGTACCTCGTGGTCTACAATCCTTTTGAGCAGGAGCGGGAGTCAGTGGTGTCCATCTTCGCAAACTCAGCTGCAGTGCAGGTGCTGTCGGACTCAGGAAAGCCCGTGGACGTTCAAATCGGGGCAGTCTGGAGTGATCCAAGAACGATTTCACAAGCAGCCTACGAGGTACACGATGGCCATAGACGCTAAAAAAGATAAAGGACAAAGAGAAAAAACATGGTCAGGATCCACAGTGTGTACCTGCATAATAAGCCACCCCGTACCCACCAAGCTGTGCTGTTGATGTGGAAGTGGCTGTTACACCCACCAGAGGGTGTAACTGGCTGGCTGAATGATACTAAAGGAAAAATATTAGTATTTTTATCATGGAACATTTTACTGGTGGGGTGTGTAGATCTTTTTAAGTGTGCATATTTTAACTGGATTCTAAAATAATAAACTAACTTTGAACTTTTTTTATGTAACCCAGTGATAATTATACATATGGAACTGAGATAAATGGTACCATTTTTAATAGTAATATTGGTTAGCTGTTATTTTTCATAGCAACGGTGACTTAATATGTCCTGGGAGACTTTTAACTAAGATTATTAAAACAATCTTTTTTGGAGATTTAATTATGAAATTCAACCAATAGAGACTCTGTGTGTGTGTGTGTGTGTGTGTGTGTGTGTGTGTGTGTGTGTGTGTGTGGTATTGTGTGTTTCTTTGTGTTGTCTCTGTGTATCTTTGTGTGTGTGTTTGTGTCTATGTGATGTCTCTGTATTGTCTGTGTCTATGTGGGTGTGTGGGGTGGAGGGTATCTCTGTAGTGTCTGCATGTGTGTATATATGTGTATATGGGTGTCTCTGTGTTGTCTGTGGGTGTCTCTGTGTATGTGCATGTCTGTATGTCTGTGTTTCTTAGATGAGTAGTTTTTAAATGAACCCTCTATCACTGGAAACGTTAAGTATTTGGAGTCCCGAGGTGATGTAAAGCCTTATATAAACTAACTTAAGAGGGAGTCACTTCTGCTTTTCAAACACCATCACTGGTGCAGCGCCAGTAGTCACTGTCCTGTAAAGAAAATGGGAAGTAGAGTCCACACTCAGGCCAGGTCTGACAGCCTACTTCGAAAGCTGTGAACAGCTCTCCAAAGACAGGCCAGCTCACACAGCGCCTCCTGCAGGCCTTGCTCTGTGTCTGCTAGTTCCAATACAGCTCGTGATGGGTAGTGCTGACTAAACTGATGGTTATGGCACATTTATGTAACCACACTAACCCTTTTAATGTACTGAATATAACATTACAAAGGGAGTTCTGATAATTAGGAAGAAGACGTCGTTTGCATTAGGTCCTTAGCTTTCTGGAGAGTTTCTGCCTCCAGGTGTCTGTTGAGAACACCCTGGAACATTTGGAGGATGGTCATATGACTTCATAGGTGGGATGAAAACATTCATGACTTAGGCAAGCTTTCCAACCTGAGCTGACTAGATTCCCGGATGAACTGAGGTGTGAGCACTCACCAAGCTTCTAAAGCATTCACATGTAATGGCATGTCATGTTTTCACAACACATATAAACATTTTCCTGCCGATAGGTATTTTTCTCTATAGTAAGCCCGTTTCCTGTCTCCAAAGGTTTCTTTTCTAGCTCACGTGCCACCACTGGGGATGAAAGTGTATAAGATCTTAGAATCACAGAGTGCAAGTTCACACAAGGCTGATTACTTCCTGTACAATGACGGAGTAGCAGAAAATGGGATATTCCAGATGAAGAACATGGTTGATGCAGGGGATGCCATAACCATAGAGAACCCCTTCCTGGCACTCTGGTTTGACCGCTCTGGGCTTATGGAGGTATGTTCTCAACAGTTGTGACAGCCATAGAGTGCTTACTGTGTTTACTACATGTGTGCATGACTATCCAGACGGGGGAGGCCTCCTAACCCAGGGCTGCAGCAGACACTGGGAGGCGGGATTGATTAGCCGCTGCCTACCTTCTGTGGGCATGCTGCTCGCAGTGTGGTGCGCAGGGGTGCCTCTCACAGCCTGGTGTGCAGGGTGCTGCTCACAGTGGTGCCTCTCACAGCGTGGCACGCAGGGGTGCGGCTCACAGTGTGCTGCACTGTGCTGCTGCTCATCCATTAGGTGGGTGTGGTAGTTCAAAGTGTTTATCGAAACTTTGGACAGCAATTTAACAGACTATAATAGCTACTGAATGAAATATAAAGTGAGTTTCCTTTAAACTAATCCCCATTTTTAGCTCACTTTTATTGTGTTTTTAAACTGGCTCATGCATATTGACAGTTAAACAGGTCTTCTATAGAAAGTTTGAGAGGTATAAGTCCAAGCTTCATGCTCCTTGCTGAAGTATATTGCAACGTTTTGTTCCTATTTTAAGGGTTTAAAATCTGAGGCTTACTATAAAATTTTGATGTTCAACCAAATATTTCAAATGTTAGCCACTTATCTTAGATATTTTTAGTTCTACACACTCCATCTTTTTCTTTTCTGAGGCAGGGTGAGACTGTGTAGCCCAGGCTTGCCGGGAACTCATTATTAAGCCCAGGCTAACCTTAAACTTTTATAATCCTTCTGCTTTAGCCTTCCAGTATACACCAGCATTAAAAAAAATTGAATGTGTATTTGTGTTTTTCTTTCACAAGTGTGTGTACCTGGGTGCCTGGTGCCCGAGGTAGTCAGGTAGGCATCTGCTTCCTAAGAATTGGAGTTGCAGATGGTAATGAGCTGCCATTGGGTCCTGGGAACCAAACCCAGGTCCTTTGCAATAGCAGCCACTGCTTGTACCACTGAGCCACCTCCCTAGCCCTGTTGAACATTTAACCTATCCTGGTAGGTTTTGTTGTCTTTTATTTTGAGAATATTTACAGTCCCCGATTTCAGTTTTGTTTTACTGCCTTTTGTATTTTGGTTTTCATTCTTAGCTCAATCTGATGGGATTTTGATAACAAATTGCTGTTTTTATTTTTATTTTGTTTTGTAACCCTAGAAAGTGAGAACGAAAGAAGACGGTAAACTTCACGAAATAAAGGTGCAGTTTCTATGGTATGGAACCACAAATAAGAGAGACAAAAGTGGTGCCTATCTCTTCTTGCCTGATGGGCAGGGCCAGGTGAGTGTTGCTACAAAGACAGGTGGTACCCATGTTTATAGCACCAGTGCTTGCTGCTGGATGGTGGCACACGCCTTTAATCCAACACTCGGGAGGCAGAGACAAGCAGATCTCTGTGAGTTCAAGGTCAGGCTGGTCTGTAGTCAAGTTCCAGGGCAGCCAGGGATACACAGAGAAACCCTGTCTCAAATAAATAAATAAATGAAGGAAGGAGGGAAGGAAGGAAAGAGGGAGGGAAGGAAGGAAGGAGGGATGGAAGGAAGGAAGAGTGCTAAGGACAGAGATTAGCGTGTCACATGTCCCACTAATTTATCCCTGGGGATTGATCAACTCTTGGCTATTCATCCTTGTTAAAGTTGGCGGTATGTACTTGAATGTTAGATGTGTCAGGGCCGGGATTCAGCTAGGAAGACAGACACACAGAATGAGTTTCACCCTCCGTACTCTAGACCTGGCTGGCAGGAGGGTGGTTTGAGGTTCTGCATAGCTGTGCTACAATGTGCATGAAGAGACACCAAGTGCCTGGCCCCGTGGGGACAGTACTGTTCACTGGATCACTTCTCTCTATCCTTTTGGGATTTAATAAGCAGTTTTTCCCATACTCTTGGGTATAAAAGCAACACACAGAGCCTTTCACCTTCGAAAAGGTAGCTGATGTGAGGAAAACATTGGTGGCATTTTTGGTAGTCCGAAGCCCCATGCCAATCGCTGCCGGTGCCCCACTGCCTTGACATAGTATGTTCTTGGCCAGCACAATCCTGACACTGGCTCTTGTGTTTCAGAATCTAACATTGCATGTTCACTTTACGCCACTTCCTCACCAGCGAGGCCCTGTAGCTTCTCTGCGTGCAGTTCTGGTTATTTCCTGAGAAGTTGGCCAGAGACATTCTGGGTCAGTCTCTGAAGCAAGGCTCTGAAGGCTTTTTTTTTTTTTTTTTATGCTCTTGCCTCTAGAAAGACTGTACAAAAGTTCCTTTCCAGCCAAGCTTTTTGTCTCTTTCCCAAGCTCTGAGAATTAGCCCTATCAAAAGTGTTCCTGAACACTCCTTTTCCCATTGCCTCTGCCTTCATGTTTTCCCCACCTCAAGAGGAATGACTCTTCTTAATGTTTTATTGCCTAATGGCTAATCTTATGGGAAAGTTATTTTCCCTTCTAAGGTTTGGAGAAGCTCCCCACGAAAATGATTATATTTTTAGGGATTATATAGGCCATCCCAAGCTAGTTTGTTTGTTTATGTTCAAGCAGTGAAAAATTGTAGGTAACTTACACCTTCTAGGACCTACTGCAGAATAGACAGAGAATCTTACTTCCAAGCTTTCTGGATGTGCCTCACTTCATTATCTTTTCCCTGGATAGTTATTGGTTCAGAGTCTTTGTTTTGATTTAATTCTTTTATTATTACTGTTTAGATTGATACTGGGTCTCAGTGTGTGTGTAGCCCACCCTGGCTTTAAGTTCACAATAGGCTTGCTTCAGCCTCCCATGATGAATATGGAGTATTACATATCAACAGTCATAATTACATTATTTTATTTTTGAGTTCCTGTGCTATGAGATGAGAATATTATAAAGGCTAAAGTAAAAGTGTTAGAGTATCAGGGAAAGAGGTAGCTGACTGTGTCAGAAGAGAGTAGGTGCCCAGAAACCTCCGCCCCAGTTCCCATCCCTCCTCATTTCCTAGCTGTATGGTAATTATGTAAAAGAACTTTGTAAATGGTACCTGTTTTATTGGCTTTAGTATGTTTTCCTGTGGACAAAGAAGTAGGCTTGCATAAAGTCACACATTTCTGGGAGTCTCTTACTGCTCAAGAGGCTCCATCGAAAGCCTCACCTCCTGCTCCCATTGAGCTAAGGTAAATAATACTTAAATAGATTCTGTAAATGTATTTTCAAGTCACACACATTGTGTGCCTTATTCCCTAATTGTCTTGATTCTAAATAATGAAAACTAAACCAACGGTTTCCAACTTCATGTATTTGCTTTCTATTCAGCCAGCTCCTTCCTGCCAGAGGGTGGAGTGTTTCCTAGCTCAGTCAGTCTCACTGTCATTAAACTGCTGGTGAGTCTTGGGTCCCATTTGCTTAGTCCCACCGCTTGCCCATCTTATTGCCCATCAGGTCATAAACACTGGCCTGGGAAACGTTAGTACTTAGAATGATCTCACTTCCAATAAACAGCTATATGGACAATGGAAAACGATAATTAGAACTTTTTTTTTAGATGAGAATGTTTGGAAATTATCTAAGGCCAATCAAATTGTAAGCATTTGCAAATCCAGGCCTTATAATTTTTTGTAAGGAAAAAGTCTTACCTTTTGTTCATTGTGTATGGCTTGTGTGTTCTGGTAAGTTGTAAGATTTTCATGTCATTGTTAATATTGAATTGTAAAGATCGGTCATTTCATGCACTATTCTGAGTACTTTGGGAAGGCTCAGAAACCCCAGAGTTTTTTCCTAAAAATGTCTCTCCTCTGCAGCCATATGTCTCCTTACGCCCGCCCTTTGTCCGAGTGGCTCGTGGGAGGGTCTATTCTGAAGTGACTTGCTTCTTTGAACACGTGTCGCATAAAGTCCGACTCTACAACGTGCCAGGTAAGAGAGCAGCGCAGCTGCCTGACACGCAGACGTGGTGGTGGATTCTTACTTTTCTTCCATCTTTTCACTGGGTTAGAAGTTGTTTTAGAAACAATTTAAACTTTTTTAAAGTTGACTTTGTGGCTACAGTATGACTTCCAATTTATCTTCAGACAATAGAAATGATGAGGTATTCATCCTTCTGTATCAACCCTTTCCTCATTAGCAGTTGTCTTAGTTATGAGATTATCAGCCCACACTTTATTTCTAAGCCCTGAAAGCAATTCAGTATTTAGGTGTGGTTTAATAAAATAGAATAATAGCATAGTTACTAACTAGACCACTGACACACACCCCTGCCTCATTAATGTAGAAGGCAGTTAGTTCTTTTGGTTCACATTTCTGTCTGGTACATTTCTTGAGCTAATTTCATGCAGTATCTTTGCTAATGAGAAAGATAGGGAGTGAGCTTTAATCATTCTACGGACTGCTACGCCCTAAGCCATTGACTTGTCCTTTCTTGGAATATGGCTTGTTTTATTCTCCCAGAGCCCTTAACTTGGAAAGTTATATTGGTTTTTTCCAAATTCAGTGCTTTTAGAATGAAGTGCTTTTCCAATCACAAATCTAATTCCTCCTTCCAGGTTACTTACCAGATCAGCAGCTATCTTAGAGAAAGTCCTTATAGATATGGCACTTGAAGACTTACTGTTACCTAAGCTGAAAAAAGTTAGGGAAGGTAAAATATTCCTCCCTTGACTTTTCATACAGATAAAAAATAAGGGATTTCACCAACTAATGGTAAACTACTTGAACAAGCATGGATTATCTTTAGCTTATAGGGGAAAGAAATCATAGTCACAGAATTTCTTCAGTACCCAATGCTCAATTTCTTAATTTCACAATCTGAACTTAATTTTGCTTTTATTTCATTATGCAACTTCATACTCACTCCTTTTGCCTTTTCTCATATTAGACATGGTCATTCTTTTTTCTTCAAGAACCTCTTGAGAATAATACAGTGTGTTTTCTAAATAATCTGTGGTTCCTGGGTTGAACCAGGACAACCTCCAGAGCTATGAAAACTAACAGCAGACATGAACTTTGTGTCTCAGTGTGACTTCTGTGTTATGTAGAATGGCTTTTCTACCATCAGGGAAGCCTGCAGTTATAATAAAATCGTCCATTTTTGAATTTCCCAAAGACTCCAGTAAGTTAGAATCTTGAAGGCAGCATGTTCTTTTTGGCCATTTTTAGCAATTCACTCCCGAACGCTCTGACATCACATTTTCAACTATTGGCAGCTGTTTCATATTGTAAGTAGAAAATAACATCATACAGAGAAATATTCAGTTGGTTTTAGTTTTACTTACAGGCCTATAATCCAAGTTACCTGAGGGACCGTGTCAAGGGGATTGCAGGTGTGAACAGAGGCCAGGGCAGATTAGTGAGACCTTGTCTGAAAGTAAGAGAAGAAGGCTAGGGATGTGGCCCGGAGGTGGATTGGTCCCTGGGTGTGTAAGATCCTGGCTTCAGTCCTCAGCGTTGCCTTCTCTAAGGAAATATACTTCATTAGCATGTATTAATTATATAAAGTAAAGGGTTTAATTACGACATCTCCATACTTGATATGCTGTCCTTTAGTCCTGTCCATGCCTCCTGTCCCTCCTGTCCCTCCTGTCCCCTCCTGTCCCCACAGGAAGGCCTCCCCCTTGAGTGCAGCCTGCATCCGATTACCTTGGTTTTCCTTAGAAGATGCGTCACAACGATTACATCACGTCTGAAGTCCTAACCTTACTCAAATATAACCCCTTAGTTACTTTCGCTTCCCTTTCTCCTGCCTGTCTCTGTCATGGCATCTCCTGAGCTGTCCTTGGGTTCTCCAGGGCCCCTGAAGTCCTGTGTCAGGATGGCCTGTGAAGTAGATCCCTCTCTTCAGCTGCTGGTGATTGCAGCCTTGCTTGCTGTCGTAGGCCAGCAGCTGGTTTGGAAGTTAATCGACTCTGACCTGCCTGCTTCCTTCTGCCAAGAAACTCTGCTCATCAGAACTAAGTGGCTGTCATCTTTCCTCTGTCTTTCCTCTCTTCCCACTCCTGGATGCAACCCTGTCCAGCCTGACTGGCAGCTTTGCAGCCCAAGCCAGGGCCTCAGAGGTCCCCCTGGGTTCTGGCTTGCAGAGTGGCAGCCCTTGTTGACTGTTTCCCCCAGCAGCTGCTGGCTCTCTGTGGGGGACAGGGGGGGTCCACGTCTGTTTGTGGCTTGTCTTCTCTCTCTTTCCTGCTTTATTTTGTCCTTTTATTTCCTAGTGTTTCGTTCCTGGACTGTTCTTCCTCACACCCTTGTTCTGGTTCAGGTGAATAGGTTTTAGAGGTGCTGCCAACAGGAGGGGCCTCCCATCACCAAGCTGAGCCGCCATTGGAGTCTGGATTTTGATCTAGGCTCACCTCTCCTCAGCATTCATAATCTGTTCACTGTAGTTGCTGGAGAAATATCTCCAAATCTAAGAGTAAACCTTGCCAGTTCTTGAAGTCTCCAGAAGCCTGGCCTCTAGGGAATGGAGATATTTTAAAAATAAGCTTTAGTTAGTTAAGAAATGGAAAGCCCCCTGAATGGGGCACAAACAGAATTGACATAGTTTTTTAAAAATACAGACTGTCTATTGTTAGACCCCCGGAAAACTCAGGTATCCGGGGTCCCAGGCCATGACCTCGGTCACCCCAATCACCAGGCAGATTCGAGAGGTTGCTGCAAACTGCATGAGGCTTTATTGTAATTTAACGAGGTAACCCCATGTTAGCTCGGGTCTTTCACCATCCCGCCATGGTGGATGGCTACAAAAGACGGCTCCTAAGGCCTCCCGAGAGATCTTATAGGACAGCGTAAGGGGAGTGTCTAGGGGTATGCACAGGCTCATGATTGGTGTGCCTCTAGGCGTGTAGGGCTTGCCCTGTGTTGATTGGTCAACTGGTTGTTATGGCCCATAGGCCCTCCCAGGGTGGTTGCTATGCTTTGTACGTCATTGCTGTGCGCTTTTCCGTAAAGCACACCCAGAGTCGTAAAGCATAGCGCCACCAGCTAACTTCTGATTGGTTCCTTGTCACGAGACAGGCATCTGACCTCTAAGTGACCAAGGCAAGGTTATGGCAAGCACGTGTTCGGCTGTTATGGCTACCGAAAGGGGAGCTGGTCCCTTCACTATTGCTGCTGGATTTCTCAATGGGTAGAATAAACCGGGAATGACACATTTATGTGCCAATGTTAGGTCCTTGTAGCTTAAAAGCAGGAGGTTTAGAGATGTGTTGGAAATGACAGGTGAGGAGGTGCCCTGTGACATTAATTCATTAACTCCAGTGTTTTTTAGATGAGTTTTGTTCTAGTTGTCTGGATTAAACCTGAAGTCAGCATACACAAATGGGAAGTGACACCTAAATCTTGGGTCCCCTCTAGCCCTGAGCATTTCTGTTTATTTGTTATAACAAGGGAGCAGTTGGGCAGGAGATGAGACACCTGGATCATCTAAAGGCTTTCCTCCAAACCCTGTCCCCTCCCACATCTGAATTCCACCTCCTTTCCAGAAGGGTGCCTCTTAGAAGAGATTAGCCACACCCAGGAGAGACTGCAGACTGCAGACTGACTCTGGCTTTCTTCTCCCTGTCTCTGTGACCCACCCCATGTGACTTCCTCTTCCACTTCCTGAGGCGTCATCACCTGGCTATGGGCTCATCCAGCCTGTCATGAAGTCACTCACTCCCAAGGCTTGTGGTAGAAAGGGGTCTTCAAGTGGATGACATCTGGGCATTTAACCTGTAGTGAAGTTCCCAGGTGTTGGAGTCTCCTCCGTTTGGCTTCTGAGGGAACAGTTCTGTTCTGAGGGAACAGTTTAGGTGACCAGCCAAAATGTGGAGCCAACAGGCCAGTTCTTATACAAAAAGAAACCTACAGGCAATGTCTGTTTTTGTAGGCTGATTACTAGCTAAGAGTTCTTGAAATAACAAAAATATTTCCTTAGCTGTTTCTGTGTATATGTTAATTCTGCCCTCTCCAGGGGCCCAGTGTTTACTGGATGAGTATTAATGAATGGAGCTTGATTGTTACTGGTATCAAATTTCTTCTTAATTTTATTTTTTAACATGTATTTTTTATAAAATTTTGTATGTGTGCACTCTTGCGTGTGCACACACATGTGCATGCATGCTGGTGCTTGCAGAGGCCAGAAGAGGGTGTCAGATCCCCTGGACCTGGTGTTACAGGATGGGAACAAGATTTGGTTCTTCTGCAAGAACAATACATTCTCTTAACTGTTGAACCATCTCTCCAGCCCCTTTACTAAAGATTTCAAGTAATGGTTTTCCTTATGGCATTTTCATACAAGTACCAAATTTATGATATGGGAAGTAATGGAAGTATTAATATTGTCTGCTCTGCTCACATACATGCCATTGTATTAGGTTGTTACCTGATAATTTTACAACATTATTATTTTTTGAGCAACATTGAAAAATAGAAATCGAGTTAGTATTACAGATCATCTCTTAATTGCCAGTCTATGTTAAGCATTCAATGAAATAATCGTTCTAAAATCTGCTGACCCAATCAAAGAACCTCCCAGTCCTCAGTGTCTGCTCTATTTGCATTTTGGTGCTTTTTCCCCTGAAGTAACTTTTGTCAAAAACATAAATCAAACAACACTTCCCAAATTTCACAGACCAACTGGTCATGATTGATTGTGAAACCAACTGTGTTGAGAGGCCGTGGTGCAGCCACCTGCTCTGGGTATTGAACTGTGTTTTCTCTATTTGCATTCTCCACAGATCTGGAAAATAATTAGCTCAGCTGAAAGACTGTCTCTTCCTGTCACTTAGCTCTTCACAGACACCATGTTTGAGGGCTGGAGAAATGGCTCAGCAATTAAGAGCGCTGGCTGTTCTTGCAGTGGTCCCCATCGAGTGACCGACACCCACATGGTGGCCCAGAGCCACCCTTCACTGCAGTCTCAGGCACGGCATGCATGCTGTACA